AATTCTCGAGTCCGTTTTGGTTGTACATTCATTTTTATGTCTGTACAACTTTTACCACTTGTTTTTCCTTCCCCCTCTCCTCCTTTTTCGTGGATTTTGAGGATTTACTGTGAAAAGTCTTCACACTTACAGACCTGGGAGTCAACAAAGCGATTACTTGAGCGCCAAACTAAGATTTCATATTTTGCACCTTGTGAAATGGTTATTTTTCCCTTTAATAATAACTTTCGATTGTTTCATGCAATACTTGCCCTCCTTTGAATATTTCTCAACTTAGACCCCCCAAAAAATAGTAAATCTGTTATTTAATTTTACTTTATACTGTTACTGTACTTACTGTACTTACGATCTTTGTTAGAAGGGAGTTCTCGCTCATTTGCCGTGCTGAGGGAAAGCTTCGCATGAAAATTAAAATGTTGCTAAATATTCTTCAACAAAACATTTATCTTAAAAATAAATATATATTTCCTTATGAAAATTTCAAGACTCCTAGATGAAAATGTGAAGGCAATAATCGTGAAAAATCGAAGGAAAAACACTCAAAAACTTCTTCAGAACTCCGTAATTTCCCAAATAGTCCAGGCAAACAAGGAAAAGAGCCTGCAAAAATCCCGGGTAGCAATGTTTTCATCGATTCCTATGTAATTTTTGACGCTGATTCCGAATTTCAACTTTGCGCCATTACATTCGGACCGGAAAGTTGCCAAATTTGGCAAAAATGGCCTAAAATCGGCCTTTTTTCCGGATTATGGCCTGTAATTTTCCAAAAATTGATCTGACGATAAAATTAGTTATTTTCAGAAATAAAGCTCGTTAAATTTCCTATAAAAAAGTTTCAATACACTTTTTTGCTCAAGGCAAAATCAAGCACGCTGGCGGGCTCCAAACTTTGAAAAATGAGCGAAAATTTGGTTTTTTGCGGGTTGTGGCCTGTGACTCGTCCAAAATTGATCTAACGACAATTTGGTTATTTAAAAGAAAAAGTTTGTTAAATTTCCCATAAAAAAGTTCCTATATACTTCTTTGCTCAAGGCAAAATTAAGCGCGCTGGCGGGCACCGAACTTTGAAAAATGAACGAAAATCACGTTTTTTGCGGTTTTTACAAAAATCCCGGGTAGTAATGCTTTCAGTGATTCCTACGTAATTTTTGACGCTGAATCCGAATTTCAACTTTGCACCAAAAAATTCGGACCGGAAAGTTGCCAAATTTGGCAAAAATTGCCTAAAATCGGCCTTTTTTCCGGATTATGGCCTGTAATTTGCCAAAACTTGATCTGACGATAAAAGTAGTTATCTTTAGAAATAAAGCTCGTTAAATTTCTTATAAAAAAGTTTCTATCCCTTTTTTTGCTCAGGGCAAAATCAAGCGCGCTGGCGGGCTCCGAACATTGAAAAATGAGCGAAAATTGTGTTTTTCGTGGTTTTTGCCCGATGTCTCCTGTTTTAATCGTTCGACGAGTAATTTCTGGACAAGTTCAGTGAAGATGATAAAATTTACACTTAGTGAAATGAATTGATGTAAATAATAAGGATAACCCAACACATTACAGATGTGCAATTTTCGCACATCTTACTAAGTTCGGAGCCCGCCAGCGCGCTTGATTTTGCCTTGAGCAAAAAAGTGTATGGGAACTTTTTATAGGAAATTTAACGAGCTTAATTTCTGAAAATAACTAATTTTATCGTCAGATCAATTTTTGGCAAGTTACAGGCCATAATACGAAAAAAAGGCCGATTTTAGGGCATTTTTGCCAAATTTGGCAACTTTCCGGTCCGAATTTAATGGCGCAAAGTTGAAATTCGGATTCAGCGTCAAAAATTACATAGGAATCGATGAAAACATTGCTACCCGGGATTTTTGCAGGCTATAGCCCCTATTATGGCTTATTTGCCTGGACTAAAAAGAAAATTGGCAACGCCAGGGTATGTTCATGTGACATTTTTCCTGAGCGTGACAGTCATTAAGTAATAAGTATGATCCATTCTGGTAGATTTCCGTATTTTCATCGTTATTTAAAAACTGTGATCGATTGATAGTATTGCTAAGCTAAGACTGTACATGTACGTATCGCAGAATTCGATAAACTATTTAAAAATCGAATTCCGGATGCGTCAAAAGCGAAAAAGAGAATCAATAAATCGAGAAAAAAGCGTAACTTGGTACTTAACGTCCCGTAATCTTCAAACCCTTCACCCTTTTATTTCAGTTTTCAATCCTGAAAAGTTATCATTCCCTCCGATCTTAATGTTCCAAAACCGAGCGAAGCCGTCTCTCTGTGCCTCGCCGCCGGTCGCCAGGGTGACCGGACTCGTCCGTGGACCGGCTTTGAAAGTGGCTGCGTTAAAATTGTTTGTTTTAAATTACTTTGCCGGCCAACGGGGTGCTTTTTCGGCAACTTTCCACGTTATCTTATCGATTGCTCCTTTCAATTTATTTGGCACGTTTCTCAAAGCGGCGATCGTATTTCCATAAAATTTTTCGTAAAACGCTTTTCAAATTCCGAAAATTCCTAGTTTCTCTCATAAAAAGAACAAAACAGCCTATCAATGTTGCCAGACTTTTCCACGCAAATTGAATTTTTACCAGGAGAACTTCAAGAATTCTTAGCTGAAAATTTTACTAATTTTGCTTCTAAACCCATGCGAAAATTAGATAAATTTTGACGAAAATAATTAAGTTTACGCTCGTAAAAAATTGCGTTGTTTGAGTCAATTTCGCATGAGTTACCTCCAGAATGGAGTTACCTTCCTTTGAGTGGGAAACGACGTATCGTATACAGCCCTTTTTCCGAAAGGAGTACGCGCATCCCCGTTTCCCGAGATTTTCAGCGGGGATCGATGATGATCATCAGGGTCGTGACAAAAATTAGAGCAAGCTCGTTACGTAAGATCTCCACCAGATGATAACCCCGCCTAAATCAGAAGTCCAAAGCCCAGAATTTGTCCGCCTGAGTACGCGGAAAAAATAACCTAACACCATTCCAAGGTTGCAAAACTGACTCAAAAAATTAAATATTTCATGAGAATGTGACAGAAATTTTTGTCCAAAATGTTTGTGATTTTAGTCTTAGGTTGGATAAAAATCAGCGAAATCTTCAGTTGGCAGTGCCTGGCGGTTTCCTTGCAGGACCTCAATTAGAGAGTGGAAATTTTGCAACCTTGAAGGGTGCTTACGTTCTTTCGCGGGCGAAACGAAGATTTATTCAAATTTTCGGGGAGCACGAACGCTTATGGGACTCCCTTTTGGGCCGGGTTTAATTCGAGGGTGCCGGGAGTTGGAATCAACCGTTATGACCGCAGCTGTTAATCGCCACTTAATACGCTGATGAAAACCATTAAAGAGGGCGTGGCGGCGGGGGCGGNGGGGGGGGGGGGGGGGGGGAGCGCGGAGGGATCCATTTGTCAGGAACCGGGATCCCTTTCCGGTGGGGCCTCTTCGCACAGACTCCAAAATCAGCGCGCCGCACAATGGATCGAGTCATGGGAGAGGAAGGCCATGATTTTTTTTACGAAATCTACAAATGCAGTTGTGAAATTTTAAATTTTGAGCGGTGTTTTCGAAAATAAATTTTACCAGAAAACCAATGGGAGCACTTCTAAAACGTCCAAGTTTGGTAATAATAGAGCTACGAGCTTTCAAAGTTTCCAAATTGTGTCCGATTTCTCCGATTGAATCGCTCCACTGTGCGCCGGATTTGGAGATACTCTTTCCGTTCCATGCCGTTTTTTATTTTCTTAGAACCGTATTCATAGTCTGTTGTGAACTCTGAACCAGCTCCGATGCTTAGAAGTATCCGTGTAGTTTACATTGTGATTCAAGGAAGCTTCAGGACATTTTAACATTGCATCAAAACAGGGACGGTTTTAGTAGCACGGCAGTATGGATCTCCATCAGCCACCCTTAAAATTACAATTTAACCCAAATAAAGCCTTCCGAGGAGAGGAGCTGGTTAAGACAGACTTTGAATAGGATCATTTGACCCTTGGGGGTTGCATTTATATTGCTCCTCGGTCAGTTCAAAAGAAGGACAATTATTTTTGCCAACCTCAAGTACAATTGAGTAGTATACCTTTAGAAATGGATCCTTGTACAATAATTTTCCCCGGCAAAATCCAAAAATATGGGGAAGGAAAAACTGAATGATTTTGACGCAAGTTTAGGAAGAATCGACCAAGAAGACAGCCCTGAGTTGGCAGCCAACTCGTGAAAAAAACGCGGGACTCGCGGGAGCCATTGCGGGACTTGAATGATCGATTATAGATATTTCCCCATTTAAAGCTACGGTAAAGGATCGATTATTAAGGTGTTCGTTGCAAACGCCCTGTCTATCGATCCTTTTCCGTGGGTTTAAATGGCAGATCAATCGATATATCGTAGAGCGCGCCAGCGGGAGTCTGCAAGTGTGGGGGTGGCTTTGCGTGTGAAACAAATTTGCCTAATTTAATCAGCCGACTGGAAAAGATTTTCGCCTAGAGGGGCCCGAGGCAGGGAAAACTAAGCTCGCTAAGCACGGACTCGCTTCGATGGAATGCCGGTATTAGACAATAAATCTACCTTCCCCGGTTTTTTCATCTGCTTCCTCCATCCTCTGCCCGGCACTTCCCTGACACCGACGAGTTTCGTGAGAAAGTTTTATTTTCTTCTTTCTTTCTATTAAAAAAACCCCGGATGAAACGAAACTGATCAGTTATTACAACGGCCTAAAACGGAATAAAATTCATCGTTTCTAAGACAAAGAGACGCACTTCAAAATGGAATAGTAGTAGTTAATTTTTTACACAAATTCGACTGAGTTACTTCTGTATAACATTTTTCTGATTTTTTCTTTTAAAGAAAAAAATTGGGAAATTTTAAACCGGAAATTCCTGAAAAATTATGTGGGTAAAAATAAAATTCTCGGTTGCAACTTTTGGACCGTTGAAATGTAGTTACTTTGCTGCGCAGAGAGTGGATTGGAAATATGTCAAAACAAATGGATTCTGTAGAGGCTCAACGTACCGAGAAGTTTGACTGCAGGTTTCACTGCAGGACTGCAAGTGTCCACTCCTCAAAAAGGAGAAATGGCTCCAAATTTCCGAAATATCAGTACCTGAAACACACGAAAGAGCAATTGTTAGCAACAGAAGGGCGCTGAGGACACACAAAGGAAAACGTAAAGAACATCTAGATTATCAGACAGTTTTTGGATCACACACCCCGTCATCGTCACTTTCCGGCCAAAGTATCACCAGCGTCATGTGACATTTATAAATTTTCGCCGCCATTTCATTTTCAACCACCATTCTCTCAGTTCCAAATATTTGGATGACGAAGTGTTGATCCGATTTCCGCGAGAAAACTCTCAAAGCTATCTTAATTCAACCTTGTCTCCGGATCTATCGTCAAAGCGAAAAATAAATAGATTACCCGTTCCTCGTCTCGAAAACTCGGACGGATCCGTTCCAGGAATCCGGACCGGAAAGGTCATTCCGCGCCAATCGGAGCCGGAACGAGTTCCCGCGGGGAAGTGCATCAATTTTTCAGGGCGGGTCCGGGATGAAATTGAAGCGGCTAATTAACGAGGGCTCAATCCAGTCGTTGCCGTGTCCGGAGAAGACGGGGCCGAGTCCCGGCGAAGTAAAAATTAAGTTTTAAAAACGGAGGACGGTCGCGCGGGGCGGGGTGGGGCGGGGTGACGGAGACACGGGGTGGCGAAAACAAATGTTCCCTCACACAATTTAATAATAAAGTTTTTGACACAGAAAAATGAGCGTCTCAATTCTTTAAAGCGCTCCCTTTCCGCTTCGCGACTCTCTTCGTTAACATTTCTTCGAGTCCACCTTGAGACCTGGGCCGGTCCTGATTGTTACCGTCTTGGCGGGTCTTGAGGACCTGAAACATGGGCACCTCCTCCAACCCCCCACAAGTCTCAACTAGAACAGCGATCCTGCTGAAATTTAGTTAGAGTGAATTTTAGCATCACACTGAAGAAAATGGCATGCTGTTACAGCACCTATATGGACCGAGTTTAACAGAAAGGAACCAAGCCACATCAGCTATTGCCAAATTTAACAGGGAAATTACAACTTTTTAAGAGAGAACGTCTATGCAGATTCCTTTGAAAATTTTAAGGAATTTGCTTTGTATTATGGAGAAAATTCACTGAAATTTGCACAAAAATCAGCACAACCGTTTTCATGTAAAAAATAAAATTGCCCGATTAAATTTGGCAATAGCTGATGTGGCTTGCTTCCTTTCTGTTTAACGCGGTCCATATAGGATGTCAAAAATGTGTCTGGTGATCCTAAGATGCTACCTTGATTGCCAACGCACACAAATTTGCATTCATAGGATGTAAAGTTAACTGCGGGGGCAGTAAGGGCAGCATCTTGGGATCTCCAAACACATTTTTGACATCCTATAGGTGCTAAAGCATCATATTATTTTTTTCAGTGCACTCAAAAGTCCATTCAGACTCCATGCAGCCGATAGGAGCCAACTGTTTTTTATTCATTACAGAACCACACACAGTAGATCGAGTCAATGTGAGAGATCGGACAAAATTTAGAGACTTTATAAGCTTATAACCCCATTTATACAAAACTTTGAATTATTAAAAGTGGTTCCATTGGTTTCCTCGTGAAATGTTACTCTGGAAGCACCCCTTAGAATTGAAAATAAGACGAATTAAGCATCAAAATTTGCAGTTTTAGTCAAAAACGACCTCTCTAATTGACTCAGTCCACTGTGCGGCATGTCTGTTGATGCATTTATTAATGGACATGTGCTTATGAAAGTTTCCCACCAAAGTTGGCCTCTCTCTGCTTGTAATCAGTTTGGTCCAGCTCAATTCCTGAGGAGGTCTCATATCGACGGTGTAACATCCAGACCACGTTCCTCGTTTACGGTGTTTAAAAATCTCCACTTCCATTTTAAATTTTTCTGGAGGAGAACAAATCAATGTCATTCTTCGAGGTTATTACATAGTTATTTTCGTGCAGAGAGGAGAAATCACGGAAGTTTTAGAAAATTAATATTGATTAGTTTTCCATTTAAAAAATAAAGTAGGACAGTGAGTCTGCAACATCACAAACCGAGATACGTGGTAGTTTCACCGTCGATACGTTTCACGTTGAGATTGTGGGAGGTTTAAGGAGATCCTTGACAAAACATGAAATGGACAATTGTCACAATTGGAGAGAAATTCGACAGTATAACTTTGGAGATAGGACCTTGCTAGAGGTTATAATGATTGGCCTCTACAAAGCATGAATAATACATCTTGCAGGTTTTTAACATTTCAAGTTACGATCCAATCCACCTTGACGTTTGTCAAAATCATATGATTTGGGCTTCTGCATTTTTCAATATCTGCAGTGACATGTCATTGCTAGCCAATGCAAAGGTCCTATACTTCAAAGTTGTAATGTTGAACTTTACTTGTAATTCGCTGAAATTGTCCTCTTAATAATGATTTAATAGAATTTTCTTAAACCTGCTTCAATCACAATGTAAAACATGTGAGGCCTCCTGAAAAAAAGTTCCACTGAAGAAACGACAAAAAATACGAACCTCAGTTGTGGGTGTGGGACATTTAACCCGAATTGAGGAAGTTGGGAAATGATAATCCACTATGACCACGTGAGAGCTATTTCAAATTGGGCCTCACTTATCAAACGGATTGCTCAAAGCACAACTCATCAGTCATTATTAGGTAGACGTACGTCTTGATCCGAGGTAAAAACTTTCACACCGTAAAAAGCCACCGACGCACGATCCGGAAAGATCCCAATTTCTGGTCACGTAGTGAGTACATAACGGGATAAAGTAATAAAAGGGACTAAAGCCCTTGGGCAAATACTCATGTTTAATTGACGACGATAGATGACGTCACATTAATGTCGCTCCAATTTGTCGACACCGCACAAAGGAACAAGAAATTGAGAGAGGTCAGATATGTAATTTTTGACCAAAACTAAGCATTTTGATGCAATTTTTGTCATACACTAGAAAAAAACACACATTGGATCTGGAGTCAAGACTCTTAAAAACATCGACAAAAAAGAGTACTCTTGATTCAATCAGAATCTAGCTTAAATCAAGAACCATGCCTCTTAATTTAAGCGGATTTCGTTTTGATTCAAGCAAAAATCCGATTGAATCAAGAGTATTTTTTCTTGTCGATGTTTTCAAGAGTCTGGGCTCTAGATCCAATGTGTTTCTTTTTTTCTTTCTTTCTTTTTTCCAGTGCAATATAAATTTTAAGGGATGACTCTTGCAGAAAAAATAACGAAAAACCTGATAAAAATACTTTTAAAATTTTTAATTTCGTGTCGACAACTTTCAAAGCTTCAAAATCACGAGCGACCTCTCCGATGGCCTCGCTCCACTGTGCGACGCATCCCGTTCCTGTGTTCCGATCCGACGTTCCCGTCCGAATGTTCTCGGTCGAAAAAGATTTCGCGGCCCTAAGCCCGTGTACGAATCGAGTCAGCGTTGCCACATTTCACCAAAAACGGCGACTAACGAACCAATAACCCGCGCAAAACAATCCCATTTTCTCACAGTCCGACAAACGGGTTGGTCCATCCGTGAACTGGTTGGTTAATAGCCGCGATATGTCACCGGATTCGTGACGACTCTGACTCCATCACGGGGGATGCGGGGGGATGAAAAGGGGTGGGGGAGGTGCATCACGCGTGGTCAGATTCTCGGCTGATCCCGTTGGCGGCGAGGACATTGCTCAAGTTAATCCGTCGCTCAACTTTCGTTGCTGTCCCGACCGGCTTTAATTATGTGATTCGCGCTGGTTTTACCTGTCACGGGTCTCGGGTCCCGGACGTGGTGCGGGCGCTGAGTAAGAACCGCGTATCTCCACGGGTTTTTTCGATGAAGCGACGTCATTTCTGCCCGGCAGGTGTATGTGGGAGTCTCGTCTGGGTTTGCCCGGGGCTCTCGCTGCGGATACACCCGCACTGTCAAATTCATTTAAAATTCGGGCGTGGTCGGGGTATCATTAGAGATTGTTCCGATCTGACGTTACAGCGGAAAGAGTCGTAGGTGCAAAAATGAAGTTTTGAGAAAATGGACTCAGTAGCGTCTGAGCGGAAAATTTTGGTGGAAATAGCAAATACAAGCGGCAAAACCACTACAAGCAACTATTCGAGCTTCCAAGCTGCTCATATTGCCATCACTGTTATTGAAGGCGCCCCCGGTAGAATGAAAGATACGTTATATGGAACAGAATTGACGAGATGCGTAACGAATTCTCCTCAAAATGTGAGTGGGATTCATCAGTCTGATTCTGGAGACAGGCGGAAAGGATTGAGATGATTGGCCATACCGTTTAAAATATGAATTACAAAAGAGAATATTCTTAAGGTAGGTAAGGGCATACCTTGAAATCTGCAAAATCACCGATGTATTTTCTACCATATCTCTTTTTTCTTACAGGAGCAACTCATTTCAATCTCTTATGACGATAAATTTCCAGAGTCAAACGGAGGAATTTTCCTCGAATATCAAGAAAAACCGTCTTTTAACGATGTTATTTTAAAGATGCCTTTCGGTATCCATCATAGCCACGATTACTGTAGGGGGCCTCGTTGAGTAAAGGATCTGTCGAACAAACGACTAAGAAAACGGTCCCTAATAATGCCGCGCTAAAGAAGAACGCCGTATGAACATTCGAGAGTTGCCAAATATCCTACGATAAAATGTTTATTTTTGAGGAATATCATCAATATTTTCCCTTAAAATTTTCAGACACTTTAGATAAAATTACAAACAAAATTATCCAAGAAATTGACAGAAAAATATTCAAAAATTGTCCTGAAAATGAGCGTTCTGCCGGAGGAAATTCGGCAACGCCTGAAGGTTCATACGGCGTTTTTCCTTAGCATGGCAGAATATGCGGCATGATTCGAGAGTCTCTTCAGCTCGGCTGAAACGGCTTAAAAACAGGGATCTCTCAAAGCCCCGGCAGGGAAGGAGGCCTCGAAAACATCGCGGTTTGGTGTCTTAACTTTCGTCCCTGGAGAGGGGGCCGAGGCCAATTTCCGGTGTACAAATAAGGAGTTTTGAGAATTTTTGATCGCC